GACGAGTGAGTTAGTTAGAGATATAGCTTTAGCGACACATTTTTATGTATAGTTTACAAAGGTTTAATAAAGCACACCTAACTAACCTGACAGAGGGTTATTTTAAAAAATATATATATATATATATATATATTTCCAAAATTTTTTAAAATAAAAAATTTTCGAAGTTTTTTATTATTAAAATCAATAAAATTATTTTTGTTTTACAAATTTTCGAAATTTTGAAAGTTTTTCAAAGTTTTTTTCAAAAATTTCCAGAAAATTTTTAACAGGTGAAGATCTTCAGAGTTCTTCATCAAAAAATTTTCCTGATGAAAGTTAGGTTAATGGATGATTTATCAGATTTTACTTACTTTTGATTCAGGGAAATCATATTAGTTTACTGGAGAATTTGAATCTGCATCTTGTGATCTGACCTACAGAGTGTTAACTACTATACTATTGATCTATAGGTCAATTTATATATTTTATACTCAAAAATATATTTATTTACTGTACTTGCTTTTTTATATTATATTTTAAATTATTTTTAATTATATATATTATTTTAGTTAAAATACATGTATTTCTGTAGTTTTATATAGTATTTAGTTATAGTTTTCAATATTTTTTTTCTGCTGATCTTTTGATCACATGTAAAAAAGATGTTCATAAGAAGTTTTTATACTTATTTGTTAATAAAGTAAGTTTTAATACTCTCTTTAAACCAACCTGAAGATTATTTTTAAAAGTCATATCTACTCCTTTCTTCTTGTTTATAATTCTCTTTAAGTAAAAACCAAACTTTTATAACCTACAAAAGTCAAGTAAAGTAATATTTTTTATACTAAGGGTAAAAAAGTTCAAAAAGAAAGAAGAACTGATATATAGTTATTTTATATAGTAGAGAAACAATATAGAAATTTTGTTATAACTAGAGATAACTTTTCCATTTTCTTAGTCATATTGTTTATTTTAATAGTGTTTGTTTTAGATTTTTTGAAAGAAATTTTACCTATCTCGGCTTGATTTGAAATTTTTAGTAGTATAAAGTTTTTTATATCATAATTGAACAAAAATTTTCATATCAATAAAGAATATAATCAAATATTTATTGGTTATTTTATTTGATCTAATATATTTCCTCAGATTCATAAGAACCCATGTTCTACTATAAGTTATTGTAGTTAAATAAGAATATTAAATACTCTTATATAATTAACTAAATAAAAGAAAAAGTATATATCATTCTTTCTTCTCTATTAAGAAAGAAAAATAAAAACAAGGCTCAAAGGATTATAGAATGAAAACAATGTTCTAAAAGTGATATACTTATTGTTTATTATTATGAATTTTAAAAAATTAAGAAGATCTTAGGATTATTTATATTTTATTAGCAATATTAATATATAGTCAAATGACTTAATATGATTGAGAAATATTTTATATTGGAACAAAAGAAAATATAAGACAATAGTTTAACTTCTATAGTTGATAGTACTTTGAAAAAAACAATATGATATTTAGCAAGTTCAATATGGTATATATCGAAAATATCAAGATTTATCTTTTTAGACTAAAGTTATTATAATAATAAAAAAGAACAGATTGTTAGATAATAAGCCTCCATTCCTAGTACCCATTTATCTTTCTTATATTCTAGAGCCTTTTAAAAATTTTAACTTACCATCATTTAAAAGAATATTTATAAAAAATTCCATACTGAGTAGGATATAAAAGGAAAAGATAAAGAACTAATAAATAAGAGTCACAATATAGAGGTACCAAAAGTAATGAAGGAATAGGTACATCTTGAACTAATAAAGCTTTTGAAAAGTAATCAATCCTTAGTACAAAATAGTAGTAATAGTATGTATTCAAGTTATTCATATCCCTTTTTTTTTTCTGGTATCCTTTTTGTAATATAAAATTTTCACTCCTGTTTAAATTTATATAGTTTCATTTTTATTTTTCCTTTTTGAATAGAGTAAATAGGATAGAAAGATATTGTACATAATGTCAAAAACAGATCATATGGTTTGTAACAAACATAGAATTGAACACACCAACTCTTATTAAAATTTTATTACACTAATGATTCTCTCATTAGATCTCTGTCTGGAGATGGCTCAACCATATCTTTTGATCAGATGTAACTATATAGTAAAACCTCGTTAATAAACTTGGCTAAGCCAGCATTAAAAAAAAAATAAATCTAGTTATAGTTTCTAGATAGAAATCGTTATATTATAAATCTACAGTATATAAAATTTTTGTCGACTAGTGTAAGTATTAGCTATTTGATATCATCAGGTATATCCGGTTTCGTTTGACCCTATTTCTCCTTGATACAATTACACTAGGCTAAAGGTTATTAGTGTAATGACTAAAATCTTTGATTTACAGTAATAAAGTTTCACATGTAATGCTCATTTACAAAATTTTTTTTTTAAAAAAAAATAAAGTAATAATAATGAAAGCAGTTTACAAAAAAAATTATTTTATCAGTAGCGTAATTTAATATTCTTTATAATCTAAAAAATAACACGTTTGTTTAAAAAATTTTTAAAGTATAAATTGGTTTTTTAAACGAAATAAAAAAATTTTTTAAAGTATAAATTGGTTTTTTAAACGAAATAAAAAATTTTTTTTGATATTTATAAACAAGCAAGTTATCATTCAAAAAATTTTAATACAATGTATTGAATGTACTGTATGTAAAACTCATTGAACATATCCATTATTTGGTAATAATGCGATAATAACATGTACAGTATCTAACAAAACTTTTTTTAAAAAAATTTTCATTCATTGCTTGTTGAGCTAACCGCATGTGAAAAAAGCTAGCAGGCTATTATTATAGAAAACATGACTGATTGCCAAGTTCAAAGAAACAAATGCCTACATCACTTCCAAAAAGAAAACCCGTACATCCTATGCTTGCGAGACGTCGAGGATCGGATCGCGGCAAAATTAATAAAATTTTGAGGCACTACTAACGAAGTCTTATGGTAAATAAAATATACTTTATACCGGCATTATAAAAAAAAAAAAGAAGTGAATATATGAGGCGATGTTCTTAGTTTCAAACATGTGCCATAGGATGATACGTGAAAACGCATTATTGCGATACGCGATGATATTTATCAAAGGGATATATGTAAAAAATTAATTGACCCAAGTATTTATTTACAATGAATGTTTTCAATTCAACCATCAAACTCCTCCCGAGAAGGGTAAAAACAAAAAAAAAAAAGAAAATGTAATTCACATTTATCGAAGGATCTAGGTACATAGATTTTTAACAAAAATTCAAATTCAAATAATAATAATAATAATAAAAGTAGAGTACAATTAAGGAAAATAATAATAATAATAATAATAATAATTATAAACAAAAAAGAAAAAAGTTTTTACACAAAAAAGTTTGCCTCCCTTCTCTAAGAAGGCAAGACGCCGTGCACCTGCAACCTATATAAACAGGTGAACTCAGGATTCTCATGATTATCCAACACCTTCATCATGATCGCTCGCACGCGTTGATTGCCTTTTAACGCTATACTTTCCGGCACGTTAAATACCTGCGTCGGTCTTCCGTTCAAGTCGTACTCATATTTACCCAAAAACAGATTGAAATCTTTGACGAATTCGAATTCGTGATTTCTTGTCGTTTTCTGTGTTGAGAACTGTTTCTGATAATTGTCACCACTTGATGCACCATCATTGTTATTATCATCCCAATATTTGGATCCGTTATCGTCGGTAGCAAGTTTATCATCATCCGAGTGATCAATCACTCCCCATAATTCAAACTCTTTGGGCGCGCTACTTAACGGATCGATTGACACTTCTCTACTAATATGCGAATACGTAATCTGGGTGACCACAATACTCCGAGACAATCGAATGGCAATTTGCCCTTCGGTACCGCTGAAACACCAACATTCCCCCACATTCACACTAGGCGTGATTACGGTCTCGGCTCTGTTGGATTTTATCACATTACGACGAGTGAGCATGCCCCATAATCGTTGATACCCTTTGCTCGGCCACTGTTCATAGTCACGTGAGGTAGCGTGGGGAATTATGCGAGCGCCTCCGGTGTACAAAGCGTAATCGGCGCTGGTTCCGTCCATCATTTTTGTAAGTTGCTCTTGGAGAACCTATGTAAATTTTATTGGTCACGTGAATATCAAATTATAGATTTGCCGAAGCACGTCTTACGTCACGAGTCGATTCATATGACTTACCTCATTCAATTGTTTTCTAACCAATCCCACCAATCCGTCTCCATCGACATCCACTGCACCCAACGAAGAGGAATATTGAGGTGTTCCGGATGCAATCCTCGACATCTCTCCCTCGATAAACTCTTTTACTTGAGATTTAACCGCACCATCCAATTTTCCATTATCTAAAATCTTGTAAGTCTTTTGTCGTTGTTTCTGCACTCCGTAGCCGCTTTCAGACATTTCATTGTTGTCACTTACGGTTCTGTTCATAGGAAGTGCGGAATCGTGCCCGAACTCGGTTGAATAATAGAAGAACACTATCACAGACAACGACAAAATAACCATCAAACAATAGTAAATTTTTTCCTTTGGCAGATTTTGCAGCCAACTCATCGAAAATTGACTTTTCACGTGAAGAAAAACGTCTTGCATGAATCGAGTTCGGTTCTTATTATTTTGTTGATGTGGGCGACGAATGTGTTGTAAGCATTCTTCATGATCCCCGACAATGGTTTGTACCGACTCATCTTTCTTGATACAAGGATTTTCATCTAGGAAGTATGAAGCATCGAAATGAGAAAACCCAATACCACGATCGAAAGCTGCCATAGATGTTTGCATCGCGGGAGGAGCGAGTGGTCGTGCAGACCTTTTCACCAAATTATTTGCGATTTTTTCGTCATCACATCTGCTGGTGGTAATGGGACACTCGGAGAGTTCGACTAATTCGGTTAATTCGGAATCCTGATAATAGAGGCTAGAAATATCGGAACTTTGTCGACTAATATTGAACATTGTAGAATTCGGACAAAACAAATCCATGTCATCTGTACTATTCTCGAGGTCGCTGTCTACTAATTTTGCACCATCGCAATTAATATCTTCACAGCCAATCTTTCCACAGCCTATACTGCTTCCATGACATCTTAAGAATTCTAATTCTATGCCGGCTTTTACGAATTGCTGTTTATACTTAATGAACAGACTTCTCTTCATTTTGTAGTAGACCACTTGATTGAGAGCATCGGTGTTGTTGACAAACCAATATTCTTCAGAGAATGGGTTGTAGAGTTCACGAACTTTCTCAAAGTCCAGGAATAACTCGAGGTATCGCTTGGCATCTTCCTGAATGAGCGGGGCGGACATGCGATAGGCACTATCCAAGTCTTGAAGAGTGGGAAAATTTGGATTGCAAATACGTTGTGGACTTGTTATGCTGCGTGTTATTGGTGACATTTTATCGTAAGCGAGGTAAGCAAGTATCTATAGCCGCTATCAATTTTATGATGTATATTTGTAGCAAATATGGAGCTTCGTGGTGTCCTTTTTTTTTTTTTTTTTTAAAGAAAAAAAAAGAGATATTTTTGTGTCTTATACAATTGAGGAATTTAATCAGAAATAAAAAGGTAACGCGCGAAACAAGCTTATAATTGAGTCTTTGAGAACGGGAAGAAAAAAAGTCAATGTATTTAATTTAATATAAAGGGAAAATCGATTTTTTTTTTTTTTTTGCAATTATTAACTCGATTTTTTTACAGTGCAATAAGATGGTTTACTAGCAAAGATAGATACAAGGAAGAAAGAGCTGGTAACGTGCAACCTTCGCTCTGCGTGATATTTACAAGCATATAGATGACGATTTTTGAAAGTGAGAAATTAAAAAAAAAGAAAAAAAATTCAGGAGTTTCCTACTGGTGTATTTTTATATTGTGATATAAAATACAATCATTATTTGTCCATATAAATCCTGAATATCGTTGCAATATGGTACACCTTTGTTTTTTTTTACTATTGATAATCCACATTATATTATGTTGTATTGTAAGAGAACCCCATTTTCGAACATTAGTTTAGGAATACAAAAATATTTCAACGATCTCATCATTATAATAACTGTTAATAATAGCCAAATATATACCAACTGTCAACGAAGCAAAAACTTTTAATTAAACTGTATGTTGATTAATATTCTTTCCTACATTATTTCATCATAGCCTTGCGCATTATCTTTGTATAAAGGACTGCGCATTATCGTTATATTTACTGTATGCATGACACATAAATCTTGTGTGCATATTTTTAATTTCGACGTAGATTGCGGGGAAATGTGGAAATACGAAGAACCCAACATTTTTTTATATATTCCGTTTGTGTCAACCTGACATTGAGCCTCCTCAATCGCACAGCTTTTACCGGTATTAAACAAGATTTTTTATGTATCCCATGATGAAGGTGATACAATGATAAGGTTTACTTTTTGACAATCACGTTAATTAGTGAAACTACGAATTCAAACATGGGAATAAGTGATATTCTCTGTGATATCTCTCTCAATACTGATTTTCAAAGACGCGCATCATTGTTGAAATGTCTAACAATTGTACTAAACAATGAACGCTTATATAAACCTCCGAACCTCGACAAACAGTTAATTTTTTTCATTCAACCTCCCCAAAATCAGTAATCAGAGTGATGCCATCAATGATTATATGAACATGTTCGTAATAAATTTTCCTTGTCGGAAATGAATTTCATTGGTCAATCGATATCTTGTACTCCTGCAGTTGTTACACGATCTTGTGGTTTACCTATACTACATGCGACGGGACGTTACACGATACGTTAGCTGACAAGAAGTGGCGTAGCATTAAACAGAAAAATCAGGAGTATGCGAACACCAACCGGAAATTCGTGAGAAGTTTTTTTTTTCGAATTGTCCATATGAACAAACAACCTGCGTGATGATAATTTTTACCCCAATTATCTGAGGAGTACCAACTTTTGAATGTGTTCTAGTTCCGAAACTGGAAATCCCTCGAGATTTTTGTTTCCTTTTTTTGCTCCAGGGACTGGAGTGCAATTCCCAGTTTTCCAAAAATATCGAGTATTTCATTCTCAAGAGGAAACGTCATGTTCGATCATATGCAAGTACATCCTTTACTTTGTCCGTAATGCTTCGCACAACGCTTAGTGTATACGAGAAAATTAATGAAAGTTGCGGCGTTGATAACACACGATATACTCGAATACGCATGCTATTATTACTGTGCCTTAAAATATAATTGTAATTTAAATTTACATTGTAAAAAAAAAATTATATACAGTATATGCATATGCATATTTATAATAATATTAAAATTACAATTTTGAATAATTATATATGTTATTAAATATATATAAATTATATATTTTTATATAAAATTTAGAACAATTAATTTTTAATAATTAATTAATATAAAATTTATAAATTTCTTAAATAGCATGCAATTTTAATAGTTAAGTTTTTTCAAATATTTCAAAGTTAAAATTAAAGAATATCTTAATTAAGTATTTTTTTTTGAAAAAATGTTTCTTACTTGAATAAAAATCTTTTAAGAACTTTAAATTATTTATTTTATTTAAAAAATTTTTTCTAATACATTAATTTATCAATTTATAATTTTTTAAGATAATTTATAATAATAAACTATTAGCAATAATTATAATAGATAAAAAAAATATCAATTTATCAGAAAAATAAAATATTATTTTTTTAATTTAACTTAAAATATCTAATTATGACTTTGTTTATTTAATCTAAACTAGTTTAATAAATTTTTCATATTTTTGAAATAATATAATTTTTTAATTATACAAAAGTTTATGAAATATTTTAAATATTTATTTAATATTTAATAAAAACATATCGTAATAATATAATTGTAAGTTAAAAAATTTTTTTTATTTTTAATATATAATTTATATAGTAAAACTTTAAGTAATGATCATAATAATTCAAGTTAGATTGGATTTTGAATTAAACCAATTCAAATTTAATTGAATTAATTTTTAAATAAAATTAATTAAAATTTGATACTATATTAATTTATATTTAAAATAAATTTGGTATTATTTTTTTTTTAATTTGTTAACTATAGTTAAAACTTTATTGAGTTTATAAAATATTTTTTATTATATTAGAAAGTTATATAAAAATAATTTTTAGTTTATAATAACTCAGTTTATTATTATTTATCTTGCATTGTTTCCTATTAGAAAGCCAAGCATTAATATTTGTTTTAATTTATTGAAACAAGTATTTAATAGTTATATTAATATATTATATTTTATATAGAATTTTTATGAATAATAATAAATTTAACTTTAACTTTAAAAATTAATTGTTATAAAATTATTTGTAAAATTCATGTTTTAATATTTTTTAAATAAATAAATAAATAAATAAATTTTTTTTTATTTATTAACTTTATTAATATTATTTTATTTAGATAATTATCAAAAATATTATTTATTCAAAAAATTAAATAGGTTTTATGATTCAAAAAAATCTTTATAATAATTTAATTTTAAAATTAATATGGTTTTTAAATATATATTACTTATTTAACTTTTTAAAAATAAGTTAAATATTTAAAAAATCTTTTTTTTTAATAATAATTAATAAGCATATAATTTTATTATAAGTAAAAATAATAAAGTCTTATTAACAATTTTTATTGATAATTAAAAAAGATTAAATTAATTATCTTAATATTAATCTTTTCTTATTTATTTATCATTATTTAATTCAAAATTAGATTGAAAAACCAATTAAAAAAACTTTCTTATTTTTTAAGTTCTATTTTTTTTTTTAAAAAAAAGTATTAAAAAAAATATAATACTTAATATTAATATTGATTAAACTTTTTCCTGTAGATCTTTGACCATTACTTTCAAAGAAGCATTTCTTCAATTTTCTAAAACTTTATATTTTGAAAGTAATAAAACTTCAAAACTTTTTTTAAAAACATTTACTTTGTTTAATAGCAGTTATATTCTACCATTCTTGTTTACTTTTTCTTTTCAAAAACTCTACTTAAGAAATTAATAACAAAAAAGCTTTTTTAGGAAAAAGAAATTAGATAAAAAAATACTCTCATTCTTTTTTCTATAGAAATCCCAAAGTCTAGGAAGAAGTATATATAGATCAACAATTTTATGCCAGTCTAGAAAATTAATATTACTATCATAAGTAGAAATAGTTTTTCTTTTATTTTGTAATAGTCTTTTCTTAATTTTTTTTGAGAGATTTTGTCTGTTCTAACTTAATCTTAAATTTTTTGTTATATCAGATTTTGGATGGATTAGTTGGTTAAAGGTTGAAATTGATTACTTTATCCTTAACAAAAATGTAAATAAGAATATACTTGACACATAATGTGAATATACTGTATTTTCTAAGCTCTATAAAAAACTTGGATCCATTATAAGTTATATTTTAGGTATATGGATGGATAAATATCATATAAATTATGGTCTCCTTTCTCTCATTACTTTTCAAAAGTACTATGGCTATGAAATAAGTATATATCTCTTTTATTGAAATGAAACTTCAAGAACTTACACTACTCATGAAAACACAACCATTCTTCCATTTCAAAGTTACTTTAGAGTTTTTTCATTTTAATCTAAATGATTTTTTTATCCTTATGTAATACAAAAATACTATCATACTTATACTTTTTTTTTTTAATACACTCAGTATTGATAATAGATTATAATCATCAGGATCAAAAGAAAGATATATTTCTCCATGGCATATTAGTTGGGAGGAATCTGGAAAGATCGAAGATTCAATAAAGATGTCTAGTTTTTTTCTAGATAATAGTAATAATATAAATTTGATTCAACTGGATATCTTCAGGCAACAAGCCATTTGGTAAATCTATTAAAGGTTGGGTTTTAAGATATTTATTGATGTAAATAATATATGGTTTTACATAGCAATCTTTGTAATCTTTGCATTAATTTGTATATTACTTTATCAAAGTCAATAAATATGACTAAGCTTCTATTCCAAAAAAAAATTGATTAGAAAATATTTATTATTAATTGTCTATATTATACTAAGATTATTAATTAACTAATAATCTTTAATAAACTTATAAATTTAAACTTTTAATTTTATAATATATAATTTAAAAGTATTACTCACTAGTTGAGATTATGTCATTTAGTAATTGAATTATTACTAAATTAAATTAAATTTAATAATAAAACATTGATAAATTATTTTCAATTATTGATACTAATCATTAAAAATATTAATAAAAAATCAGTAAATATATAAATTTTAATATATTGTAGCAAAAAAATTTAACAAAAAATTTATAATATTATGAAAAAATTTTGATATACTATATAAAAAATTTAACAAAAAATTGTATACAGTAATAAAAAAATTTAACAAAAATTAT